CTTTGCAAATTCAGCCCTTTCCCAGATGCGTTTTTACTGTGCTCATAATCTATTCATGAAGTCTTTCTAATGGCTCAAGCAAGTTAAAGACCTTCAAGCCGAAGATGTTTATTTTTTCCAAGTGGCATAACACTGCAGATTTCATTGCCATCCCTCATCCTAAACTCCATTCATTTCTCATAAGTATTCTAATGCATAAGATATTTTTTCCTATAAAGTTCTAAATACTGAGTTAAACAGGCTTGAAAAGCAAAAGACTTCTCCTCAAGTGCAGATGAGTTTCATATGGTTAGACATTGGAGAAAATAACAGCATAGAAACTATTTTTTCCACTTTCCACAGAGTTTAGAAACTTTTCAGAAGTTGAGAACTGTAGAATAACGGAGAGAAAGAAAGAGTTCACCACTCAGAAGTGTAAAATACTTCCATTTGTACTCTTGATCTTATGTCTCTGGGCTCATGAAGGTATGGAGTTACACTTTGTTTACTGTGTACTTTGTTATACTTGACCCAAGGGGAAGTTAAACATCCCACAAAGCATGAGGAAAAGAAGATCATCAGTAGTAGTCAGCATGGATTCACCAAGGAGAAGCTGTGTTTAACCAACCTGATTGCCCTTTATGATGGGATGACTGGCTGAATGGATAAGAAGAGAGCATTGGGTGTTGTCTTTGTTGACTGCAGCAAGGCTTTCAACACTGTCTCCCATAACATTCTTGTAAGAAAGCTCAAGAAGTGTGGGTTAGATGAGAGGACATTGGGTTGGACTGAAAACTATCCAGATGGCAGAGCTCAGAGGGCTCTGATAAGTGGTTCAGAGTATAGTTGGAGGCCTATGGAAGCCTGTGGCTAGTGGTGTGCCCTAGGAGTCAGTATGGGGCCCTAGGGCCCAGTGCTATTCAACTTATTTATAAATGGTTTCCATAATGGGACAGATAGCACCCTCGGCAAGTTTGCAGATGATACCAAGCTGGGTAGAATGGCTGACACACCAGAGGGCTGTGCTGCCCTTCAGAGGGACCTAGACAGGTTGGAGAGATGGGCAGAGAGGAACTTTATGAGGTTCAACAGGGACAAATGCAGGGCCCTGCATCTGGAAGGAATAACCCCAGGCACCAGTACAGATTAGGGGTTAACCTGCTGGAGAGCAGCTCCGCAGAGAGGGACCTGGGAGTCCTGGTTGACACCTAATTAACCATGTGGCAGCAATGCCCTCATGGCCAAGAAGGCCAATGGGATCCTGGCCTGCATGAGGAGGAGTGTTGCCAGCAGGTCAAGGGAAGGATCCTGCCCCTCTACTCAGCTCTGGTGAGGCCGCACCTGGAGTACTGTGTGCAGTTCTGGGCTCCCCAGTACATGGGATGTGGGATGTGGAACTTCTAGAGAGRGTCCAGCAATGAGCAAAAGAGATGTTGAAGGGTCTGGAGCATCTATCTTATGAGGAAAAACTAAGTGAGCTGGGCCTGTTTAGCCTAGAGAAGAGAAGCCTGAGAGGGGATCTGATCAACATGTACAAATACCTGAGGGTAGGGTACATAGTGGATAAGGCCAAAATCATCTTGGTAGCCAGTGACAGGACAAGGGGTAATGGGTACAAACTGATACACAGGAAGTTCCATCTCCATGTGAGGAAGAACTTTCCTGTGAGAGTGACAGAGCCCTGGCACAGGCTGCCCAGGGATGTTATGGAGCCTCCTCTGGAGATCTTCAAAACTTGCCTGGATGCCACCCTGTGCCATGTGCTCTAGGCATCCCTGCTGCAGCAGGAGCGTTGGACTAGATGATCTCTAGAGGTCCCTTCCAACCTCAACCAGTCTGCGATTCTGTGAAACTGAAACATAGGAAGTTTCATCTCCATAACAGGAAGAACTTCTTTACTGTGAAGGTAACAGAGCAGTGGCTGCCATGTGGAGTCTCCTTCTCTGGAGAGACTCAATACTCGCCTGGATGTGATCCTGTGCCACATGTCCTAGGTGACCCTACCTAAGCAGGGGAGTTGGACTAGATGATCTCTAGAGGTCCCTTCCAACCTCAACCATTTTTTGTGTAAGTACTTGTGTGAGATTTTCTGTGTATGATGCTGAATTCTTGTTTTCTATGACCTTTTTGAAGCAATGTGGATAAATGCAATCCTAGAAATAGTGCATATCTACCTGCATTTCATCAGTGGGACAGGTAGAGTCAGACTGGAAGGAAATCTCAGATGCAATAAGTGGGATGCAGTAATGTGGTCTATCCTTTTGGATGGAATCCAAAACTAGTATCAGGCACCTGGATTGAGTGTAAGGCAAGATAGGAGCCCTGGAAGAAAAAAAGAAAGCAACCCTGCATCTGTTGACCAAGGTCAGAATAATAAGAAATATAGAGGATAGGGCTGGGTCTGAATGCATTCCCCTTCAAGAGATAAGGACCTGAGGTAAGTCTGCCTAGAAAGCACCTCTATATTCCCAGGGCCCACAGCTCAGAGTCCTCTCCTCAGAGATAGGAAGGTGTCAGGACAGACATTCACTCATCCAAAAAACAGTTTATAAATCCTCATTCCTCTTCCACCTTTCTTAAAAGTAAGAAAGAAGTAGAGAAAATAGTGTTTCCTGCAACCTCCATTGCTGACTACCTTAAGGTAAAACTTTAGTGTTGGTGTACTCACTTAAAAAGAAAGGGACCCAAGTTTTGACTGGCCTGAGGCCCTCTTCCAGATCTTCCTGCAGCAAGTCCTAACCTCAGCCAATAGGTGGGAAAGTCACAAAGTCAGAAGGAACCCCAAGAACAGACACAAGAGGAACCCCACTCTGCAGCATAGAGCTGCATAGAGCAGCATAGAGCTGCCCTACATGGGTGTCAGATGTACTGGGGAAGGGGGACCCACATATACAAGGCTGTAAAGTAGCAAGGCTATGACATGATTTTGCACCATGCTGGTCAGGTCTACAGGCCTCTTATGTCTATGGTTATCCATGCTTGCAGTGGCTTTGATTTCCATTGTGAAGGAATAAAATCTAGCAGAGACAGAAGCCTGACAATGTAATCCACAGTCACTTGGATATTTCCCATCACATATTCTCCCACTAGCCAAATGACTCAAATCAGTCTCAGACATATTTTTGACTTTTCTGCCTAGGAATTTTGTCCAGAAGGATTTTGAGGATTTTCTAAGAATTTATGGATTTCGAATAAACCTGAAGAGGAAGTGAGTGAGTACTGTAGTCATGCAACACGTGAACAGTATTTCTGATGGTTTCAGAAATATCAGATGACTCTCTGGTGGATGCAACTAGAGAAATATTCTGCATGTGTGTATTAAACCTAACATCTTAGAAATGCTGGATACACTGTGCCTGTGAGCTGTGGTGACTCCATATGGGGGATAGTTCTGAAAGATAATTACCCAAGTTTGTTCCTCCCTGCTTTTGTCCTTAGAGGGTATCTAGTGGGAAATTATGTATGTGATTGTAGAATTTGAGTGCATAAGAGTGAGGCAGGATAAGGAAGGCAAGGAGATGCTGAATAAACGTGGAGGATCTGGAAGCATTTGTATTATCAATAGAACTATGGTGAAACTTCTAAAGATTTTGTGCCCACGTAACACAGGTTTTCATAATGCTAATAGTGCATCAACCAGAGATCAGGAGGAGGACTCACTTCTCATTAATGGAAGCCTTTTTCTAATCCAAACCAGAGAATGTCCCAGTCTTCTGGTCACTAAAGATTTCCAGCATGTCTATGTGGCTCTTTTATTCAGAGATGTTTCCAGAACTGTCAATTCTCCAGCACTCTGGGCAAGACAGGGCCTACCTCTTACTCTCTGCCCCCAGTACAGTATGCATTTGCAGCTCAGCATCACAGTCTTTCTCCTGCTCTCCAACTCCACATCCTAGATGCAGCAAATTGGGATGATCTATATCCAGCCAAATTGCTGACATAGGAGCTGTAAGGGTAAGACTGGACATGATGCTGAAAGAGGCCAGCCTTATCCTAGGGACGTAGACTCAAAGGGGCCTGCTACAATCATCTTCATTGATGATTTTGAAAAGTGGTAGTAAATTGTCCCTGAGCTTGTATCTGCAATTGTTTATATATTCATTTCATACAAGTGCAATTGAGATTCCAACCCTTAGAAAAGATGCTCTTCCCTTATAATTTGAATTAGCATTATCATAAATCAGAAGAACGCTTGAACTTCCCTCCTGGCTCAAACTAACAGTTCCATCTCTCTCAATAACTTCTTTCAAAGAGTGGTCAATATCAGATGTTTAGAAAAATACTGAGTAACAGGGCACAGTTAGAGTGGATCCTTCTCTTGTCCTACCTTCCCAGATGCAGCAGTCTAAACTTTTTCAAGCAGAAAGTTACATCTGAGCCAACATGTTTAACAGCACATTTAACCAACATTCAATATAAAAAAAATGTTTTCTTCTTTTCAAAGTTCGTTTCATAATCACAAGATGTTTCTTTCACACGGCCCACCTGCCAGAGCAGTTTCAGAGCAGCATTCTGCAATCTGAAACTCCCTGAGGATATATTCATATCGCTTTACCTCCCAGTTTCCCACTGGCACTCAGAAACAACTTATCACACTAATGCTAAGTTTATGGATGCAGCTTGCTATTTGGACATTTGTTCAGCAACAGCAATTAAGTTTTGGACAGCAGTGATTACTGAGAAAAGGTTTACTCGTTTCTTCTGAAAGAGAAAGTAAATCTAATGCTACATTTTCTGCATTGGTACATTGCCATGTGTGCTTTCTCTACCACAAATGTAACACAACCTATCTCCTAAATCACTACATTCGTATTTTAATAGGGTGAGGGTACTTTTCTTCTTCCTGCTTTTTCTCAAAAACCTTGATAAATTTCAGTGAGGATCCCTATTTTTTGCAGAACGTCTTATATAAAACTCAGATACTAACAGACAGATATGGGAGGGCTGAGAGGGCATTAGTTCAGAGATACAACTTCTTCAGAGCCTGCACTGCTCCCCCCCCAACCCTTGCAGATTCTTACCGTAACCCATGAGGGACTCGCACATCCATTCTCCACCTGCAGCTCTCCGGCAGCTCTCCCATAACGAGGCCCGCTGCACGTAGGGCAAGGTCTGCGATTCCAACCAGCCCCTACCCGCTAGCGCGATGATACCAAAGATGACGCCTATGCCCAGGAGCAGAGGTAGGATCCATCTGCAGCGAGTGTAGTCGAGGCCGTACTTGACCATCTTCTGCGGCAGCCAGCAGGTTCACGGGGGGACGCTTGGGTGAGAAGAGCTGCTACTGAATCAGAGACACAAAGCAGAGGGTGTTTTTGCAAAGCTCCTTAAAAGTGAGTGTGTGTATGCATGAGCCGGTGTGCGTGTGTTTGGGAAAGGCTTTTTAATGAGGACAGACACAGGAGGGAAGGAGCTCCGCCTAGATTCAAATGAGTAAGAGCTGCAACTGGGTAATAACCAGTAGAGCTGGGGAGAAGTTGCATGTTGGGCTTATCTGTTAGATTCTCTCTTCTCTGCTGACTAGGTAACAAGTGAGGTGTTATTTACTCTCTGAGTTTAACATTTTCCTTCTTCCACTCCCCATCAGAAGAACCATCTCACAGCAGCTGGGTTTATAATTTTGCATCGTAAGGGGTTTGCATTATAGCATAAGACCACCTAGGAAGCTATTTGCATTATAAGTCTTTGCATTAGTGGCCAGTTGTTTCCAAAACGTGCCATGTGGAGTTTGAAAGTTGCCTTTCTTGAACCCTATTCTTAAATAAAATGGCATCTTATATATAATAATAATAATAAAAAAAAAATCCTCTAGCTGCTATTAAGACAATAAAGAATATGTCTCCCCTTTTTGGATAGAGCTGCAGGCAAAAAGAATCCCTACAAATTATTGTTAAAAATGTAGCATTGTCTGCGTATAGCCTTTGTGAGAGAACAGAAACTGAGCCTCAATTTGACTGTGCTGTAGGAACTCGCCCTGCATGTGAATGTGGCTACATATACCCTGCTCAGGGCCTGTCTGAGCCTGCCCGCCATGCGCTGTGAAGCGCAGCTGAGACTACCACAATCTCCAGGGAATCCGTGCTGCAGAGTGCTGGGCAGGTTTTTCTATCAGTCAACTCAGGAGCAGTATGGCATGTTTATAGCACTCCACCTTTGAACTAATATGTGCTTCAACTTGGTATTTTGGTGTCTTTACATCTGGAAGCAGCTGGAAGACTTGCAGAGCGAAGCTGGCTTCTGTAAATCAAGATTAGGCACAGAGGGAGCCAAATATTCTTTGCTCCCAGAGTAGATTTTGTCAGGCAGGCCTGTCTCCAAGTGTGAACCCCATCTAGTCTCAGAGGTTTGCTGCTCTATTATAGTTTTCATGGTGAAATGTGACATCCATACTGAATCGCAAACTCTAGAACATTTTACTGAATTAATATTCATAAATGAATAACAAACTAAAATACAAAATAATTAATACAATGCGCAGTGGAGTGCATGAACAGCTCTTGAGCTTGCCTAGACCCAGACTTAAACAGCCACACCAACAGACTGCAGCACCGTGAAGAGCTGTTAGCTCAGCCATAAAAGCAATCCAGACGGGTTCATGTGGCAACTGTGACTCATTTCTGGAAGGAAGCCTGGAAGGAAATTAGCTTTGGCCTGGCTATTTTGTCTCCCATTCTCTAGCCAGTGTCATTTTGCTAGTTCAAGGAGGCTGGTACCTGGTCCCCTGCAGTATRGACAAAGGCTTGAAGTTGTCAGAGATTCTTCAGGACTGGTTGATAAGTCTCTGTTATAGCTAGACACATTTTTACACATTTGACCCCTGAGTTTGAATGTCTCTTAAAGCAAGAGCCAACTATGAAGAAGCACCAGCCGCCTTTTGGAAATGGAAATAAGGGTCTGCCTGAAGAAAAACAAAGCAATTTTTTTTTTTGTAAAGGGAACCACCTTTTCTTTAGGATATTATATATTCTCCCTTGTAGTCCACATTTGTATGCAAATATTTGTAAGCAAATATTGTTTGAAAGCTCACCCTTATTACCTGAATATATCTGCAACCTGCTCAAGTCTGTTTGTAAATACACTTTTTGTTTTCATTGCTGGGCTGGGCATAGTAAAATTAAAAAAAAAAAAAAAGAGAGAGAAATTAAAGATTTGAATTTGCATACTAGCTACTGGAAGAAGGCTTCCAGAACACTAATGCCTGTCTTCTTAGGTTGGCAGTAGGGTATAGCCCATGCTTAGCTGTCTATATCCAGTCTCTTGCCAAGTTTCAAACCTTCAAGAACACTTGCAGATTTATAAAGACTCATTTTTTTCCCTCAGATAAAATAGCCAAATCAAACTAAAGCAATTATGTTAGATGAAATCCAAGATAAATTCAAGCACTGTCAGGTATTTAAGAGCCAATGCATGTCGAAGAATAAGAATGTTCTCCCTTTTTTTGTCTGAATGCTCATCCATATTTTAGGTTAATATTTATGATTGAAGGATTTGTCATCAGTTTTTATGGTAACTCAGTAAGCACATGAAAAGAATGTCTTTAGATACTGAAAGTGTTCATATGGTAATTCAAGATGCCATTCACTGGCTGCTGAGCTCAGAGAAGAATTTTCACTGGGTTTTAAGGTTTTTAGACGTAGGCTTGGCTTCCAAACCCTACTCTTCATGCTTTTTTTNTTTTTTTTTTTTTTTTTTTTTTTTTTTTTTTGTAAACATTCATATGTATGTGACAAGTACATAATAAATTAACAAAATAAGTTAAGACACTTATTTTTTTCAGCAAGGTTACAGTTCCAAACCAGAAGATTATTATAATAGCTTATTTTAACACTAAGTTCTGAAACATGAGGCTGCAGTCACCATTTTTATTTATGTGAGCAATTCAAGGCTGCAYTGGGAAAACACAAAAGAAGAGTCTGTGTATGCATGTACATGGACTTCATTTTCAACTAGTTTTTGTTACCAGACGTATTTTCCTCAGGAGGAGTTCTATGCTGAAAGAAAAAAGAAGTTTTAATCCACAGTTACTTACCTACTGATATGCCACAGAAGGGTAACTGGTTTGGCCTTCCTTCTATCCCACAGAAAAATGGCTAAAATAAAAGATGTCCTGTAAAACAATCCTTCAGTTCCCAGATGAGATGGGTTTTGGTGATCTAGTACTGGTTTGGGTGATCTGAGACATCCTGGTGTATCTGTCAGGAGTACAAACTCTTTTGCAATGCATTTCCTTTGTCTTCAGCTTTTCTTGAGAAGTTCATTGAGAAAACCAAAGCTCCCATACAGACTTGGAGCCAAGAGGACAGACTGAAGCAGCAAAGGCCTGTGGACCAGGGCTAGATTGGCATGACTCAGACTGTKGCACTGCTCTGTGGTATAAGTGATCTACATGAGAAATGTCCTTTAGAGACCCAGAAGTAGGAGGCACAGAGTAGTCCCCACCAAAACATGGGTTGGCTCCTAGTCCAAGAGATGGAGCAGACATCCGCATGCAGCTCAGCCTGGATTGTGGGATTGGGCAGCTGTGACCATATAGTAAATATATTTATGTATGACCAAACCAGATAGCCCTAGTGTTCAGCTGCTAGGGTGATATTTTTCTTAGCTCTTTGACTGGGCATATAGCCACACAAAGAACATTATATGAGTTTCTATGAAATAGTATATAAAAAGTTTATATACAGACACTTTTTTCACTTTGAGATTTACCAGCCAAAGTAGTTTTTTACTGAGACCAAAATTTTATGTGGAAATTACCAATTTGACATGTTTAATATGTAATTTTTTTTGGAAGAAAGCTGAAATGAAAATTGTGCCCTATCAATATTTTCATATTTTATTACCTTGATAAAAAATGCCAGTTACAGCTTTCCTGAGTTTTGTTTTGCAAGTTTTGATTTTCCATTGCAAATTAGAACAGAAATTCTTTGGAAGTACATCATTGATCATAGAATAGAATCATAGAATGCCGAAGGTTGGAAGGGA